AGCAATGATATAGCAGTCTGAAATGATTTGCCTAGAAACGGATGTACAAAAAAGGGTTCCTGTTTCTTACTTTGTAAATATTATCAAAAAAAGAAAAACATACTTAAAACAGCAGATCCAAGTAAATCAAATTGAATTAAGGAGTCGAAATGGTCAGTAAATAAATTTAAGCTCATTTTAAGGGCACAATATACAAACAGAGCAGAAGACTTGGAAAATATGAGTTTAATTACTAGCAGCATTAGGCCCAACTCAGTGATTTTTATTGTTGTAATATTTGTTGAGCAACGCACTAAACCTCTCTGGATTCACTTTCTTCTCTACAAAAGGAGGGAGAAAGCTGAATGAACTAAGTTCCTAGTTCCTAAGTTCATAGTCAGAAATCACAAAAATCTCACCCTATGATCCAATTAATTTGTCAGCATACAAGCTGGCCACAAGTCTTTTATAGAAATACCAGGTTAGCAAAACCATTCATTTTCTTTTTTTTTTTTTTTTTTTTTTTTTTTTTTTTTCCTCAGTGTCACGCCCGTACCAGACCGGGACCAGCAATGGGATCGCGACCCTCGGTGTTGCGCCCGCACCTCGCTCAGCCAGTGAGCGGGAACCGGTCTGTATGTGGGATCCGAACCCTCACCCTCGGCGGGAGCGCCGCTGCGCTTCCCAAGCAGCACACTGTACCAGCGCGCCACCGGGCCGGCCCCAAAACCAATCATTTTCAAGGATCAACATCCAATAGCAAAACATTCAAAATCAATTTTTTTTAGGTTTTCACTATAGCAGTACAAATTGGGACCTAACAAACAGCATACTGGTGAGACAAGCACTTGCTGTACATGTGGACAAGTCAAGGCTTCTGCCTGAGACGCAACTAAGACAACTGTGCTACAAATGTACCAATGTCTCATCACTTTCCAATGTACCTTCCTTCATCTTTATAAGCAATTTAGCATTAAATCCAACTAAAACTTAAAGCTAATATTGACGCTCTTAAAAAAGCAAGCACCGCCTACAATTAAAAGCAATTACGAGGCTGGCCAGGCAACTCATCTGATTAGAGAACAACCTATAACACCAATGTCACGAGTTCAGATCCCCCATACTGGCCAACCACCGACCACGCCCCTCCCTCCTTCCCTCCTTCCTCCTCCTCCCACCCATGTCTCTCTCCTTCCCCCTCCCCCTTCTCCCCAACTGCACCACAACATCTTAGAATGTAAAATAAATTTTTAAAAAATTTTAAAAAATAAAAATAAAAAATAAGAGCAACTACCAATTACAGAAAAGTTCAACGTGATACCACAAAAGATGTTCAGATGTTCCCAGGCCACTGTAACATCGTCACTAATCAGTGGAATGACTTTCAGAACACATGCTCCATACCTGTGAATGAAGCTTTCTGTGGAGCTCTGAAAATAAAGCAGCATCTGCTTCTCTTCTTTGTCGAATAACTGAAAAGTTAGAAAAGAAAATAATTATGTTAATCACATACACCAAAATTCATTTTCATGATGCTATATCATCTATAACAACAGACAACTCTGAAATGCTAAAAAGAATCCTGAACTTAAGAACAAAAAGAGCCAGACAACGAGTGACCTTTTAGTTGTATGTGTCTGGTCAATTCGCTTAACCTCTCATTTCTGTAAAACATGGAAAATATCAGGCTGGGATCAAAGAGTTTACGTGAAAATTAGGTAACGTGATAGAAATGTTAGGATCGTTTAGAATCTGTCTACAAATAATAAGAAACAGTGAGGGGGGAAAAAAAAAAAAGAAACAGTGAGGGGAAGCATCATCAGTTTAGTTAAAAATGGCAGCCAGAAGGATGAAAAGTAAAAATATATGTGGAATCATAGATTCAAAGTGCAATAAAGTAAACATTCATAACAGTTTGACTTAAAAACTACACATTCTAAAGATTTTTGTTAAGATATATAGCAACGTTTCATCTTGTTTTAGTATAAAATAGTAAATAATTGTTTCAAAATAAATATCGAAAATAGATTATCAGTTTTCATCCATTATTCATAAATGTCTTTGAATGCTCCAGCCACCCTCACAAATTATCTGAAAGCAGCTGTAACAAACGAGAAGTTCATTCCATGTTCTGTTCCACAAAGAAGGAGAAGCTACAGATCATATTCGGGTTCTGAGGGAAGAGACCCACGTGCTCAGTTTGCAACACTGCACACACCGTCTGTGCACAGGTGCCTCTCAAAGAAATGGCCACACCGACTAGAAAAGGTATCACTTTTAAAAGCTAACTCATAGCTTCACTACTCTCCAATGAATCTTTCTGTTTATTCCATTTTTGTAGTAATGACTTTATTAAAATCTTATCATGCAATCCATTTAGACTTACATGTTCTAATTCACTTGTAAAAAGAAAATGACTGATTTTATAGCCAACACTTTTTCATTTCGTCAGCTAGGAAAGGAGTCTGACATCACATATGTAGTAATGACTTTATTAAAATCTTATCATGCAATCCATTTAGACTTACATGTTCTAATTCACTTGTAAAAAGAAAATAACTGATTTTATAGCCAACACTTTTTCATTTCGTCAGCTAGGAAAGGAGTCTGACATCACATACTAATCACATACCAGAGATTACATGTCCTAATCATAACTGTACTTTCAACTCTTCTTATATAGAAAGTAAAGCTATCTCTAAAATGTACTATATGAAGTGTATACAACAAAATTAATACATTTACAATTAAATATAATTTATTTTTAAAATTTATATAAATGTACTCCAAAGAAATAAAGCCAATAAATTAAGTGATGTTCTTTGCATAAAATGAAATTGACAATAATTCATAGATGTAATATAATTACGGGACAACAATAGTAAATAAAGAATAAAAATACAAACAATATTTACAAATACATGTAAGTGATGTTTTATCTACTAAATTACTAAGCAAAGCAAAACAAATCTTGAATTACTATGTACACCACTTGCCAATGTGAAAATTAAGGAACCAGGAGGCGTTAAATTTTGTCACAAATGATCACCTTTGCTATTTCTTTCAATATAAAACATACTAGCATTTTATATTTGAAATCAGCCACATAAAATGGAAAATTAACTTTTCTGTGTTATTCCAGAGGGCTGAGCTACCATAACCCAACTAACATAATATACAAACTGTAATCAAAATTCAAATGTCGAAGAAGTCATGAAATATGACAGCTCAACAGTGGCCATCACGAGAGGACCTTAGGCACCCTGGAGGCACTGAGGAAAGCCAGTGGACACCTGCTGGGAACACTGCAGAAGAGGCCACTGAGTCCACAGAGAACAACCTAAATCTCAAACACAGAGACACACACAGGAAACACAAACTGTACACAGCTCCAGTTTCTTTTTTAAAAAAAATTCCAAGACTTCCTTGAATACCCACTGCAACAATGCAGCTGCCAGTTCTATAATTCTGAGTTTAAACATGTTTTAATTTTAGCTATTAATTATATGTGTAATAAGCTCACCATGAGGCTATGAAATGTAAATTCACAGAGGGAATCATCTGCTAACATAGTACCTAATAGTTGGGGTTCTCAGTAATCATCTAAAATGCAAAATGGTTTAGGGTTCAAGAGGAGAGTACAGTGTTCTTACACTCATTTTTATAGACATGAAATGAAAAAAACTTTAATAGGTTAATAGCAGGTTAAATACTCCATTTTTATCCCTCTACCTTAAATAACTAGAGCACACCGAGTAACACCAAAGCTCTGAATGTATCAGCAGACGGAATATTTCAGATTCATATGTTTAGGACTCATCAAGTCCTAAACAAGCAAAGTCAACTAAGGCCAGGCCCAATTCCCCACAAGCACAACCCCGACTCCATCACCAGCTGACTCACATCTAGCCCAGCTAAGCCACTCTGAAACAGGGCATGCATCCGGACCACTGGCCAGACACATTTCACAATGCAACAGCTGGGGGTGGGACACTATGCCGTAAAGAATGGATTTCCTAGAAGGTACTGTTACCAGTTTACCAAAACCCACAGACACAAGGCTGAAGTCCAGCTCATTTGAGCAATTTAATAGCTAGGCCCCAGCGGGGAGAATGTACCCATCATGGCAGGCCTCTTCTCCAGTCCAACAGTAAACATCCACCTGGAGCTTGTCTCAGACAGCCCAGAGAACTGTGAGGACTGGAGACGTGACTACCAGGGAGAAGCACCCTTCCCCCAGGATAACAGCAACTCTTATACAGGGCTGCCTCCTGCTCTAAGCCAAGCTACCCCTCAGACCTTCCAGAGGTGAAGAGGGGCAGCAGAGCCTGCTGCACACAACCAGGTAGCACTCTGACAAACCAGTGCTAACAAATGAAACACTTCCCTCTCTAAGGCACCAACACTGAAGAAGACTTTAAGTACCATCTCAAAATTAAAATGATCACATAAGTTCTAAAGTACTATAAGTTTGGATGGTAACAATGAATAGAAATAATATTTGATTCAGCAAGTTTTTTACTGCCAAGATGATGTCCTATGTTATCTGGTCAAAAGGCGTATAATATTAAATACTGCAAATCATATAAGAAGCAGAAAGTGATTATAAGCCCTTTTATCTTCCTCACACTCTAAAACCAAACTTCATTATTATAATAGTATTCAAAACAAATATCTTTCACTATGTTCTAATAATTCTAAGACAGAATTGAGCTGTCCTTATTTTTAGTAGTACCTGTAATTAAAATGTTCTTCAGAACTATATACATATATATAAACATATATACACACACACACACATTCTTAAGCTTTAACAAGTTAAAGAAGCCAACACATATCATTTAAGAAAAATACATACGTTCTTTTTTGATTTTTTCAGCTACTAGAAATTCATCTCTTTCAACAGTTGGGGCAAAGTTGCTGCCAATAACTCGCACGACATACTGGAACTGCTGGGCTACATCAGCTGAAAGGTAAATAAAAGGACGCAAATTATTACCAATCAGGTTAAGTTTTGATCAGATGAAGCTTCCAGTTCTAAGGTCTTAACTGAGGACAGAAAGGTTACTAAAAAATGAAAACAGAAAGAAAAAAAGAAAGAAGAGTTCTATAAGAAAGACACAGCAATAGGCCGGAGAGTATGAAAAATCCTCAAAGACAGAAAACAAATTGGATTGACAATCATGAAAAAAAGTAGCAGGAAAAGTCACAGCCCAAAACATGAGGGCCGGCCCGGTGGCGCACTGGAGAGTGCGCCGCTTGAGAGCGCGGCGGCGCTCCCGCTG